TTATCCTGTATCTGACAAAATCAGTATCCAGTCCATCTCTAATCTGGACCTAACAGTTCATTTAGACCACGGTCTTCAGCGCGAATCACAAATCTAAACAGAAGGATAAGGATAGCGTGACTACTTCTAGCGCGGTTTGTAGCGTCGGATGTTATTGATTAAGTGACTGGATTCCAACCTGCGGTTGTAGGTAAACTTACCAAAAATGTCAAATAGGTTTCCTAAAATTTCGGAGCACACATTTACTGAAAACTGTTCTTGAAATCCCGAAATCACCAATACTGATCATTGTGAAAATTCTGCCCCACGTGAAGCAAATTTGTCTGTAAACAACATCCTATCAAAAAAATTAGGCTATGCACTTTGCTTTCGAAACCACCGACATAAAACCCCTCGCGGCTGAATATCAGTTTCAAGCCAGACTTGCACTCGCTGCAAATGATAACGATACAGCAATTGTTCCTTTAAAATTTACCACACTGTTACATGAGATGAGCTACAATTTCGTCACTACCGGCGATATGGTTCAAACCCATAAATAAGTGCCATATCACATTACTGTAGAAACTGTGGCACACCGACTAACTGAACATCGATAAAGGGCTGGTAGAGGTTGCCTGTCAGCATAAACGCCCTGAATCACACTTAATCTAATCTAGCAAATAAACGATACATGAGCAAACCACACTACACTGATGCTGGTAATTACAAGCTGATTGAGTGCAGCGTTGCGTTTCTTTACCAGCAATTGAATTTACCTGTACTTCCAACCACGTTTTTCCCAAAAACTGTGAACATTTGGTTATACGAACATCTACATAATCGTCTTGTTTTATAGCCCTATCGCCTCCAGAAAGCTCAGCACTAATTTCTGTTTTTTATACTAAGTTGTTTTGTTGATAAAGCGTTTATATCATAATCTCCTTACATGCGGCACACAAGAATTTTTAAATACCTTACCCGATGTAAAGAATGTTTGCTCATCCTTGATTTAGAGCATCTTTTCTAGAAACTACCACCTACAGCTCATAATTAATATCTTCAGGAGTTCGATAAATAGTATGTACCCCTTAAATGAAATAAATTGCTTTATAAATAGCATAACTCTTATCTTCATATATGTACTCTTGGTAAAGGTCTAGATGATGGCTGGGGGGATTGAAAGAGGAGGTGTCCCCCACAACTATACCATAAAAAGTTCGTGGCGGTCTCACCCCCATAAAAAGTTATAGGGGTTAAAAGTTAATAAATATGGCAATTTTTATACATTTCTAGGCATGTAAATATTTATATAGTCATTCTTAAACAATATTCAAAAGTAAAACTAATGAAAAATACATAAAAATATTGAGAAGGTTACATAAAACATTATTTAAATATCTTTATCAATAGGGTAAGTTAGGTTAGGTTATCGGGTTTTGTTCAAGTGACCACCCTCTTTCGATCTCCCACCTCCTCCGCTTCAAAATATTTTTTTATTGAATTTTATTTGAATTATAGTGTATGGAAATTTTCAAAATAATCAACTTTCAACCCCCATAGCTTTTTAGACCGCCGCAAATTTTTTATGGGGTTTACTCAGATGACCACCCTCTTTCGATCCCCCCTACCCACACCCCCATCTAACCCCCATAACTTTTTATGGGGGTGAGACTGCCACGAACTTTTTATGGTACAGTGGTGGGGGAGACTTCCTCTTTCGATCCCCCCCCTCATCTAGACATTTACCGTACTCTTTGATGTTTAATAACGACTAAAACGTCAAAACAGTAGTGTTGGAAATTTACTCAACGTATACTTTTGAATGCATGTTTTCTATGTATTATTATAATAACATCTTTTTAAACACATCGCCAAACTCAATCTAACCACAAAAGTTTTTTTGAAAATTGTTTTCTCGCTTGCATACTTCTCTAACACATTTTCCAGCCCATCTTCCGTCGTCGATAAATAATAACCAGCATCCTCATAAATATTTCATAAGTGGCTGATCTTGCCTTGATATCATTAATAAGTCAACTGTACGCTCATATAAACCTGTACCTAGGTACGTAGGGTACACAAAAATGGTACAAAAATTAAACGAACCGTTTCGTTAGTTCGCAAAACCGACAGCGATTTACGACAGTTAAGAAAAATTACATTTGTTATTATAGTTTTCAGTTGCAGTTATTAGAGAAACGATTCATCTTCCTCACGAGGATAAGGACAGACAAGGTTGGTAGAGGCAGAGTAACGGCGACGTCTGGCGTCGCGATGCGAGTTGACTTTTGCATTCGAATATGACGTCCGACTTTGCATCCGAACGAATAGGTCGACAAGTTCCATTCTCAACTTTAAATGACTGAAGTAAGAAGTTGCAAAGTTGTAATACATGATGTGAGAACGTTACTTCTATTACGTCGCACAGTACTTATGAATGAATGCACAGCACAAATCGTTCAACGAATATGAAAAAGATATCAATCGGAAAACTTTTCACAAAATCGATATGCTTAAGTGTTAAGAATACAGGGAAGTTTTAGAAATGAAGCGTCTCAATTACAGAATTATCTAACATCGTTTAATAACAGATAATTAATAAACTATCTGATAAGAGAATAGTAACAATTTAAACACTTGTCAGGCATTCTAAAATGACACATTAGAATTTCAAAAAACAACCTTCTCTATTATACATTACACCTGTTAAATAATTATTTGTAATACATGTTCCTTCCTCATTAAAATGAAAATAGAAACATCACCTAATCTTTTTTTTTTTTTTAAGGTATCTATATTAGAGAAATGCAAATTGGCGATTGATAGAAATTTTAATTCAAGAATGTAATGCAACATAACCCACTATCATACCACTAAGAAAATATACTGGCTTGATTAATAACTGATAAGATAAAGTGATTAGATATTGTACAAATAAACAAGTAATTTCAATTAAAAATAGAATTCCAGCCTAGATCATAATAAATCATTTCTTACATATGACATTCATATGCACTTCTGTATAATAATCTAAACTGTTTAAAACTATTAATGTTTAATTTTGTTATTGCAGTTTCATGTAGGTGAAAAAATTATTTCGCAGTTTATCTGCCCAACTAAATTGCAATGGAACACCACGTTGGGTTTATGGGCAGTATTTTTGCAATATCTATTGCTTTACTGCAAACGTTTTGCCATTCTTATCAGTCGGTATCTTCTACAAAGCCCAACTTCATTCGTGCAATTCCGGCTATGATTACTTATGAGAAACAGGAACAAACCAAACTATAACCAGTACCTATTTCAGAAAATAGATACCAAGTACAATTTTTGAGTCAAATTGTTAGTGATTTTAAGTAGGTAACTAAGAGGATAAGATATTGGCAGCCAAGTGCCAATTTGAATTTTTCATATTTTGAAAATGAGTTATACACTGTTGTTGAAAATATGAAATTTAAAAATCTCAGGAATCCTGCAGTTGCTACTTTTTCTACTTTAGCAATCGAATGGTTAGTGTATGAGAAAATAATGGCGGGAGTCACATTGAACTCACTACTATGAACTTTACATTTTTGTATGTCATAAATCTCAAAAATCTTTGGCTTTGAATGTTAAAACGAGATAATACCTACTGGAACCATCATTTCGAATTTTACATTTTTCACATGAGATTTGTAACCAGAAAATCTCAGTTTTGATAATATACTTCTGCATCAGTCATATTATCGATAATTCAGGACCCCCAAGCTGCAGGGTACCAGACGTGAAACTTGTAACAAAGCAAAATCAAACCGGAAAACTGTCCAGTGAATACAATAAACACGTGGGAGTGAACTCTATTCATTCCGTTAAAGAACTCATAGAACTGTTAACAAAATTCAATAATCTTGCCTCCAGTTTTCCGGAAGTAATAACAGCATGCTTCCTATTTTTGGCCCTTCCGGTTGTAACTGCTACAGCTGAAAGAAGCTTCTCTGGCCTCAAACTGATTAAATATTATCTTGGAGCTTTTATCGGCCCTATCAATAACCTCCATAGAAACAGAAAATATTGAAAATCTAAAATCATCTTCAGCTATGAATGTTTTAAGTAAATCAGCAGAAAAGACAATAGTTTGTATGCAAATAGATAGTATTCGACAATCTTTTTGTTAAAAGAAAACATTGCCCTTTTGGGCTTCGCCAAAATCAGATAAAATAGGGCCCGCAACCGGACCCAAAAAAAAAATGATACCTGATGGTCAATCTAACGACAATGAAAAAACTCGAAACTTACTGAGAATAAAGGTATTAGGATGTATCGAGGGTGCAGAAATAGGCGACATTTGCCCTATTTATAGGATTCTTTTTTAAACTTTGTACCTCATAAAAAATGTACCATGAAATAGGTAGGTATTAACCTTTCATTTCAATTGAAACTCGAATAATGTAACCATGGAAGGAGTTTCCTTCCTAGGATAACTTTTTTGCACATACTTACCTATTTAGGTATGAGCAAAAAACAAAATTAACCAAGATAATCAGAAGTTGTATCTGTACATACCTGGGTAAGTACTTACTTTAAAGTGGGTAGGTATTCACCCACCCACTTAAAAAAACAAAAAATTATGTTATTATATTATTATTATTAGAAAAGTGCATATTTCCATTAAAATATTCTTTTAAATAGTGTTGCTAGATCAACAAAAAGGAAGTAGATATATTATGCATTTGTTATTCTATACTTCTTTTACTTTGGCTGCATGCCAACCAAATTCCTGTTTTCCAAACAACACTTATTTACTTGTACAATTACAAGCTAGAACATCCCCAATTATAAACAATATATTTTGTAAATGTATAGTAAATATCTCGAATCAATCTATATTATTTTATAATTAGATTATTATGTATTCGAAATTGTATGTAAGAAAAATTAACGCAACATCCAGACTATAATTTAATACAATAGGATGATGTTGACAATCGTACATTTAAATTTTTAAAACAATCTACTAGGTAATAAAATAATTAACTTACCTTTGATAAACACAGGTGATGTTTAGGTCTATTTTGGGCAACTAGAATTGTTTCAGCGATTATAACACAAAAATAACATGTCAAACGGAATTTCACTGATATACAACAAACCACATCCCTAAGCAATCGTATTTATTAGTTCGATGTATTCGTTACCGATAAATTCTTTTAAAATCGCGATATTTTTATCGCAAACATTGAACAGTGTCAAACAAATTCCATGACAGCTCGTACGTGTACTACTGCGCAAGGCTAACAAGCGCACTTAAAAGACATAACCATAGCCTTTCGGTTAGATTTTCCATTAGGGAGCATTTTATTAATAAATTAAAACAGTACAAATAGAAAGAATTTTTAATATCAGTTATAATCAGTTATTTGTATGTGTACAAATTTCCAATAATCAGCTAATAGCATACAAATTGAACAAAAGATTTTCCTACCTACTGTTCATTTTCGGATTCGTTTCCACAAGAAAAACAATGCTAATAAATGAAAAACTATACAAATGACTATCATGCTGATTATGTCACGAAGTAAATTATTTTGTGAGAAACTGAGTTTGTCTAAAACCTCTCTGCCTTCTGTTGTACAGGGTATTTCCGGGTTTATATATTCACAACCTAAAATATTTAAAATTACAAAGGGCAAACTAAAATTTCTTAATCATCAACTTATATTATGTACTCCATTCCATTGTATAATGCTGAGTGACTCCATAGAATACATTAGCCAAGAAATATATTTAGTCCAGGATAATATTACTGGAAGCGTGCTAAGGGAAAATGTACATAGTAATTACATTTAACGCGAGCATTCTTTTAAAATACAACTAACCTTAACTTTATAAAAATTCCTGAAGTAATCATTAAAATGTAATCAAAAGGGACCAAAACGGAAAACGCAGATGGTACTGATTCAAATGCATTAGAAAACATCAAACCTACATAAAAATCATCTTAATTAGTCTTAACCCTAAGAACTGTAATCACATAAAAATCAAACAAAAGAAGGAAATTACCGCAAGCAGTAGCCACGTTCATAGTTATAATTGTAACAAGCAATGTCAACGAAAACGAATGAAGATCTTGCCTTAATCCAGCAATTGTGTACGCCACTGACACAAATAAAATTGGGTCCATTATAAGTCCAGGTAACTGGGGAATTAAAGACCGAATAAGAAAATATATGAAATATGTAATAAAGGTAAATGCATTTTAAAGTTCTTATTTAAAATATTCGTTAAATAAACGTTTTACAGATAAAAAATACATCTGAGTATAAATTGACGATATAGAAACGGTTCTTTCCACAGCCTCCGTGGCGCAATCGGCTAGCGCGTTCGGCTGTTAACCGAAAGGTTGGTGGTTCGAGCCCACCCGGGGGCGAACTTTTTATTCCGTAAGCTTTTGAATGAAATAAAAATATCAAAGTGCAGTTGTAAGAAAACACGTATGGTTAAACCGAAACTTGTGTTTTTGTTGTACCTTTTCTTATGCATTTTTTCAATTTTGTAGCAAAAAGTAAATGAATTGTAAATTGGCACAGAACAGAACATTCAGGCAATTGTTGCCTTTTTATCTATCTTACCATTGCAAGTAGTTTAGACATGTAATAAGTCCAAGGGGAATACAGGCCAGACTTATATTCTCTGAGAAACAAGAGCCTGTCAAGCGGAAACATTTCAAGAACCGAGTACATAGGAGTGAACGTGTTTTCCGTTACAAGCGTGAAAAGTATCCCCTGAGTCGCCTGAATACCTCCCTGATTTAAATTTATCGTTCCTACGAAACAGAGCGCTATAACTACCGCTAAGCCCTGAAAATAGATAAAATATAGGAACAGCATAACCGTAGATGTTTCGAGTGAAACACCGATTAAATACGACCCTTACCATTTTATGCAAAATTCGTAGTAGATGGGTTGTTGGTTTCCTTACGATTTCCAAGAGATATCGATAGGTTAGCCAAGTCAATTTAGTCCAACAGAATGGCCCCTTTCTGAAACTATTAATCCGGGAGCTTTAGAAAATTATTTTTTTCGAAAGTGAGGATGGATAAGGTCTTATTTTGGACCCAATTTAGTTTTCATGGGACAATTTATTTTCAGTTTCAGATAACACCCACCAATGAAAGATGTCATAAGTAAGGCTCTTACAGCCATCTTTCATTGACAATACCGATTCATTTTATTCTTTTCACTGTTTGTTTGAATCCAAACTCTATATGTACGAGATGTGTTCGAAAAGTATCGCAAATTTTGAACTTCCGCGGGTTACGTATAATCGATTTTCGTTGTTTTGGCGTTATATTGATACTCATGTCTTCACTTATACCGACAAGTTTGGATGAATGTTCAGTTAATTTTTGACGTCTATTTTGTTTGCACGTGTTTTGGCTCGTCATCGATTTTTGCTTATTACAAAAAATGGATCAAAGAATCTATCAAATTTTGGGTGAAAAACAAAATTAAGTGCACGGACCATTCCGAATGTTGACTGTGGCATATGTTGAAGCTCGTTTGGACCAAAGCCGGTAGTATAAAATGTTCTCAGAGGATCAAGAAGATGTGAACGACGAAGAATGTGCCGGACGCCCGAGCACGTTAACAGCAAATGAAAACATTGAAGAAAATAGTATTGGCCAATCATCGAATCATCGTTAGAGAAATTACTGAGGAACTAAACATATCGATTGGCTCCTGCCATTATATTTTTACCAATGATTTGGGTATGAGACTGGTCGCTGCGAAATTCGTACCAAAATTGTTGAATGCAGCATGGCATTAACATTGCTAAGGAGCTGTTGATTGTTGAACTCTGTCCGCGACGATCCATATTTACTCCAAAGGGTCATAAATGGTGATAAATCTTGGGTTTGTGGTTATGAGGTGGAAACCAAAGCTCAATCATCCCATTGGAAGCTGTCGCACGAGCCAAGGCCGAACAAAACGTACCAAGTTAGGTCGAATGTGAAGGTTTTGATAACAGTTTTCTTCGATTGCAGGGACGTGGTGCATCATAAGTTCTTGCAACAGGGTAGAATGGTCAATATGGAATATTACTTGCATGTTATACGTAATTTGCGCGTAGCAATCCACCAGACACGCCAGGATTTGTGGAAGAAAAAAATTTGGATTTTGAACCATGATAGCGCGCCTGCTCACACATCGCTGTTTGTTTTTGGCCAAAAACAGCACACTAATGATGCCACAACCACCGTATTCCCCAGATCTGCCCCTCTAACTTTTTCTTGTTCCCGAATCTGAAGGGACCCATAAAAGGATGACGCTACGTTACGATTGAGGAGGTAAAGACGGTATCGAAGGTGGACCTGAACAAGATCACAAAAAATTATTTTTTGAAGTGATTCGAAGATTGGAAAAAACGTTTGCACAAGTGTATAATATCTGGTGGGGATTACTTTGAAGTGGAGAGAATAGATATTCATGAATAAATAAATAATTTCCAAAGAAACACAAAATTTACGATACTTTTTGAACAGATCTCGCATATCAGAAAATACAGTTGGATAACCGTAATGAGTACTTGTACATTGAATAAAATTGATCAAGTATCACGATAATGAGAAATACTCATAAAAAACTCCAATTGAAGGTGTTTTATCGTAATTATAAAAGACAACCAATCTGATTCGGAATTCACTCACGATTGGAACTTTGATTAAATAAAATACGCACAGTAGCTTAATATGAATTCATACATTGGTTGTAACAATCAACAATTTAATGAACTGTATGTATGTTTACATATATGAATATTTTATACGTTTAGGATACGAACCTTTCACTTGTGTAGACTGTCAGAAAGTAAAAGGATTATCCTGTGAATATTTAATGGGAACAAATAAACGACCTTATTAACTACCTTCGTTAAAAAAGTGGAGCCTAACATAAATGCCCATATATAAACAAAACAAAATAAAAATGATAAATTGAAAAATCCCGAGCGTTGCTTATAATAACGAAACAAAAATTAATTCGTAAATAATATATGAATAATACCTATTAACGAAAAGAAAGAATATAACAGGTACGTAAGAAAAAAACAAGTTATGATAATTAATAAGGTAAATAAATAAATAAATAATAAACGTGGAGATAATGGCGAATGGATTAAAACATGTCAATAGATTTAATTATTCAGAATTAATGATTAATGATGAGGCAATTGGAGCAATTGTAACCCAGAAAATTGTATTTAAGAAAAATGTACCTACTATTATACGAAATATAAATAAAAAGAAGACACATAAAGTAATCTTGTTTATGGAAATGTATCCTAACTAAAACCCAAAGTTCCACTTAAAAATGTTTAAAAGCCAAAGACGCATTTCGACACCTAGGGTGTCAATTTCAGTTGTGACTAAAATAATAATCAATCAAAAGATTATACATCTCGCATACAATTGTAAATTATTGGCTTTGTCCTCTATTGGTTTTGTCCTAGAGAGTGGGGTTTGAGGTAAGTCACACTAGTGAATCTAATAATTGTAAGGTAGGACAACAAAGGGTGAACAAACAAAGAAGAACAAATTGAATAGTATTATTATTATGTATATGTCTCATTGAGCCACTTGTAAAGTAAAATTTGTCCCCTTGATTAATGTGCGAAGGGCACACCTATCCGATGAAGTCGTTCAATATTAATTCAAAATACCGCAAAAATCCGAAACGAAAAGAGAAGGGGTCAGCCGAAAAATTCTTCCATTGTCAAATCTGAATCTAGATTTCGGTTCTACATAAGTATATATTAATATAAATATAATTATAAATTATTTTGCTGAGATCTTCAGTAGATCAATTAATTACTTCTTCTAAATCAAAATCACTCACTATTGCACATTTTGTAGTAAAATTACTGATATTTCATACTTACGAACGAGATTTTGTAAAAAGGGTCGGTATCTAAAACGAAGCAACTTTAGAATTATTTTAAAGGATAAAACATAGTGGATTTTAAAACACCTGCATCGTTCGAGCCATGTGGAATTCGTACTGGACTATAACATCAATTTCTTTAGCGAAATCGCTTACTGCGAAGTGGTCACAAATTGTTTTAATGGCTTGTTTGCAGGAATCTTCAGAGACCGGAAGAACTGCGAGAGTTCTAATGTAAAAGTCGGCTGGATTGTAGTTGGCAGGGATACGGTAACCCAAACTAAAACAAAGGGAGTCGTTATACTTGCCAGTCTATTGAACATGCATTCTTTACATAATTTCATTAAGTTAGGTGACCGAACCACTATTTGCTTTCAAAGTGTGTTTTGTTTGAATCAGGGAAAACGGATTGGCTTCATTACCTACTGACTTAATGTAACATTTATGTAGATATAAACGGAGAGCTGGATAGGAGATCATTCGGAATATGGATAAATTTTACGGCAGCATATTCGGTTATGGGAGATTTCGTCACTAAAAGCAGGGGATCGAATTGGAGTATGAAAATATCCAATTTTTGTTTTAATTACCGCGGGTGAAATAAACAAATAAATCCAAATTGCAAAAAAGAAAACATTCGAAATGTGTCAAATTAAGAGTAAAACAGATCCATTGCTGATGTCAAAAATATGTATTCTCAAGTTTTTTGCTATAATTTTTGTCCACATCACCTTGTTCGGCACACTTTGCCAGTTCACGTGTCTGCTCTTGCAAAATTCATTTAAGTCTATATTTCTACTCTTGATGCTCTTGTAGAAAGTAGAGTGGCTGGATCGATTTACGAGTATCAATGGTTTAAGGAGTCGGGCCGTAGGTTCAACCATAATGGGGGGGGGGGTTTCTTAAAGAAAAAACCAGACTAAAGCAAGTCCCTGAAAGAGGGCAGCAGCTCTTTCAGTACTCAGATCACGAAGATCAGTATGGCACTCTACGATGTGGAAGTCAACGGGAAACCACCACATTACGATCCCAAGTAAAATGTACAACTATACAAATTAAATGGTGGCGTCCTCTGGAGTAAAGTACTCCGGACGTAAACTGTTCCCCCATTCGAATGTCCGGGCGGGGACTACCTCGGAGGATGTTATCAATAAGTGCAATAGGGGAAATTGAAATTTGAAAGTAGAAATTAATAGACTACAATTAGATATAATAAGTCCGTTAGCCAGAAGCTGGTGACTATTGGAGTGGAGACTGTAGAATAATACATACAGTATGGGTGGAAGGTAATTAGGAGGAAGAAATTGTAATGCGCAGGAAAGTAGGACAGAATGTAGAAAGTTATTTACAAAAATGCTATAGAACAGTTATGATTAAATTAAACTCGAAGCAGGTAAAAACGATATTAATGGAGCTGTATATATCTACATCAAATTACAACGATGAAGACGTAGAAGCGGTTTATACAGATATAGAAGACATGCTAAGTTTAGTGAAAGGGCAGAAAAACCTAATAGTTGTAGGTGACTTCAACGCAGTAAAAGGGGAAGGTAAAGACGGTGTAATAGTTATGAATACCAACCTTAAATTGAAAATTCTGAAAAAGTGGGGAGGTAGGAGAAGGCTTGACTTATAAAAGTTAAAATGAACGCGTGATAGGCTAGGTACAAGGACAGACGAAATACTAAAGGGGTGGGAGAAACAAATGACAGAATTCCTTCATCAGAAATGACACCACCCTAGCTTCTTAGTACGAATTCTCATCTCTTTGCTCATATTCCAATTATTGTTTACGTTAGCGCCAAGATACATAAATAATTTTATTAGTGTGCTCAAGCTGGACGCCATAAGGTGCAATCGTTGTGGAATTAATAGGTTGTTTACTGACGACCGTATATTTTGTCATTGAAGTATCTCAATTCATACTTGTCGCATTCGTTGGTGAACTATTAACAACTGCAGTTCTTCGAAGCTACTAATCAAGTTGTTGACATTAACTCCATTTACTTTGATATCTCCTCAATCTACATAACTTTCTTGAAGATGATGACAGAGTATAAATTAAAAAGCATTGGTGACATACTGCACCATTTTTCAGATGAAGATTGTTTCATCTTTTCATACCAAAACTGGAATGCACATACCTTTCAAAGAATTCTGCTGCATTAGATGTAGCTCCCATATAAGCTAATCGTCCACTTGCCAGTAAAATAACTTGACTGAACATTTTAAATATCTGAGAAGATGGTTGATGGATTGTACAAACAATGGTTTTTCCTGATGACGCCATTAAGTTCATCATAGCAATTAACTTTTGAGCTGAATAGGAGTCCAAACCGGTGGTAGGTTCATCACAAAATAGTAAGGGTGGATCAGTAAGCAGCTGGATTTATTAATAATTTAAATTTGTTTTGAAATAGTAAGATATAAGTGTAAAATTTATATTCGCTTTAAATGAATCTTGGATAATAATGTTTTACAATTAAAGTTAGAGAAGCCGAGATTGTCTCTATTATTTTTCTGCTTAATACAATTTTTCCATAGATTTGTGACTTTTCCCAAAGCGATTTCTTAATTTAAGTTCCAACGTAAAAAATTCTACATTACAAATTCGACGAAGTTCTTATTGGAACCAATTTTTCTATTAACTGTTTTAAATTTCTGAAATCATTAAAATTTTTTTTTCGACGATTCTTCGTATTGTTTTGCTAATTATAGTTAATCTGAAAGGTAAAAATGTATAAAAGGCGAAATATAAAATTTTGAGAAACCATTTGAAGGTGACTATAGGGAAGAAACATCAGTGAAATATGAAGCTATAATTGTAAATATATTTTTTTTATTAAAACCGTTTTTCGATTGGTATCAATATGGTCGGTTAGGTCCAAACCGACCTAAAAGGAAAAGACTCGCATTCTTACGTATTGACAACTACTTCGCGAAAGGCATCATTAATCTTTTGACTTAGACTACAACTACAGGAATAAAAAAAATTGTAATCCTATACCTCAGATGCAAACGACAAACGCTTTTTCTCTCCTCCAGATATTGTAGATATTTTGCTACGTCTGCACTTAAGCAAACTCAGATTTCTCATTATTTCTAACACCCTTTGTTTCCTTTCTTGAGAAGTTGTTCTACGATCCAGTCTTAAACGAGCCTGTAAAAAAATCCTTCGGGTTTGTATAACCATCTAATTATTGCCATAATTGCAGGAAAAAGCTTGACACATATACCTACATACATACTGTTCTAAATGCATGGCGTCATTTTAGAATTACATTTATGGTTTCGAACAAACAAAAAGTGCACGGTAAATATGGCGTTTTACTAAAGTGTTCATTAAATCATAAAGGAAGACGTAAAAATTTAACGTAGATAATAAAGGGTTTAGACGCAAAATATTTTTGAGGTCCTAATTAAAAAAAAAAAAAAATCTCCATCGCATCGGTAAAAAAATTACTTTATTGTGCAAATGATGTAAATAGTATCTAAACTACCATATAATATAATAGTAGTCATTGTGACGAAAATAAAACAAAGATAACATAGAATATGGAAACTGAATATAATTCTTAGTATATCCTTGTTAAAATGGTCGGGGTCAATATTGACATGATTTTGTCTATTATTTGTTGATCTGTAGTACCGTAAGAGTCTAGGAATATAAACTGAACTCAGTATTTATGATTTCTTTAAACTGAATTATCTAGGAATAAGTTAAACTTCATCACATGTCATGTGGATGTAGTTGAATTGGACAATATTTCAAAATATCGTCTTGTTATCGAAAAATAATGGAAATTTGAGTCTTGTCTTATTCTTGTAATATTCATATTGTTATTATTATTCGCATTTGACAAAAACTAGAGCAACCTTCATCTTTAAATATTTGTGAACAATAATCTAATCTAAGTATACTGCTACCCCTCTTATTTCTGCTTCTAAAATATCATCTCACCTATTTCTTATTGACTTCCAAAATGCCCTCTGCTCTCCTACCCTTTCTAATACTTCCTCATTTCTAACCTTCTCTATCCACTGTATATCATTCTATGACACCACACGTCAAACGCTTGTAACTTTTTTTTATTTAGTGCTGCCCGTGCACGCTTCACGCCCATACAGAGCCGTACTCCAAACGTACACCTTTAATAATCGCTTTCAAATTTCCAAATTAGCTGACCTCGAATATAAAAATGAGTTCTTTATGTTAGAAACAACCCGAACCTAAGCTAGTGTTATATCTCCAGCGCTTTACCTGACTCACTATATCAGCATCCTTTTCTACCCTTTCGTCACCTATTTTTATATTTGTTCTAATAACCCTACCTTTACATCCCTTACATATCAATATTTTTGTGTTATTTTTATTTTATCATCCGCAAATCTAAGGATGCTAATATTTTTAGACAATTTATATCCTTATCTTCCAAGGTCTGCGAATGCTACGTATACGTAATTTCTTTTTTCCAATGATACTTTCATCCTTCTCTGATGTACGATTCTAGTTAAAATTTTTTGAGACATAATTAGTTAAGCCACAGCCGTCTCTAATACAAGCCATGCTGAGAAATTTGGCAACAGCGCATTGCTTCGATGTGAGAGTCCTATTCTGCGAGTCTTACTTGTTATTACTACACGTCGTTACACACGATTTTTAGACACCCATGACGATAAAAATGAATTAAATCATTAAATAACTAACATTTGGTCATCACTGATAATATGTGACGTTATTTAAAACATGTAGGTATTAAGAACAAAATAGAAAAGACAATAGATTAGGTAAACATTGATAGGTACCTATATGAATTTCATCTCAATAATTGTAATATTATTAAGGTAATTTTCCACATCACCATTGAAGTAATGGCAAGGCTCGTTACCTTTTTTTTGGGGTTCGCCAATAGCCCTGTCATCCCATTAGAAAAAATTAATTTCAATTTGAACTTTTCTAATTTACGGATTTTTGCTGTCTTATAGTTAGCTGAATTTGAATTGGAGTGGTGGGATTCTTGCTTTCTATAATTTATAATTTTAACGTAATCATTAAGCAAAACATCAGCAAAAGAAGATAAAATTTGGAAGAATATATCTTTATAATGTTTTCTACAACTACATATTTTTGAAAATAGTTAATTTTCCTAAAATTGGTTTTTGGTGTTCAACCCGTAAACATTGTGTCTGCAGATTTTCGCTATTACTTATTTCTTCAAGAATGGCATAAAAGTGAAAAAAAAACTATACTAGTATTATCAGTAGGAACAGAAAGTCCTCCCCTTTGTAAATCAAAATAAATATCTCCAACGCAAGAGCTTTTATTGTTTATTATGAGCGAAACACAATTGTTGCAAGTTATCTTTTTACGAACAGAATGAACTGCAAATTTTTAAGGAGTCAACTAAATTACAATTATTACAATACTGACTTATGTTTAAGGGAGACTTTTCAACAATTTAAATTTCTATTTCATCATTCTCTGGTAATTTAGTTTATGTTAAAAGCTCATTCAAAATATTACCGGCAGTAGATACTTTTTTTTACTGTTTTTATGTCACTTTCGTTAAAATGATGTATGTAAACTGCAGAATATTTTCGCATTTCATCATTTTTTTTGGGAATAATAATATAGACATACCTACTTATACTTACATTTTAATGATTTATAATTTGAATTGAACTGGGAACACAACGACGAGGCATTTTGTTAAGAAATAAACCAGAAAATTTACAACCAAAACACACAATCTGACGTAAAACATTTTCACTTCTTTCACGTAATAGTTAATATTACCTTCTGCAATTAAAAACTGTATCCAAAGGTATTAATCACTAAAACACACTATAAGCATCCTTATTCCGCATTTATTGCACGATATTTCCGCTAAAATTAAAATATAGAAAAACGAAAGAACCACAACAGCCAATGCATTAGTTGTAACTCTCATTAACTGGGAAATCCTGGGACTCCCACAGTGTTGTCAAGTAAACCTTCAGCATGGCTTGTAAGTAGAGACGGCTGTGGTTAAGCTAATTGTTCTAAAATCTTCGCAACTACCCGTTCCTCTCATTGATGATATAGCCACAACCTTTTTTCGTTTATAGTTATCCGAATTTTCCAAGTCTCATAAATGTGACTAACTAGTTCAAACGTGTTTTTTTCTGGATAAAAGCTACCTTATGCCTTATCTGTACTCCTGACAATATGTGTACAATACTTCATGATGATCGATTGAGTAGTTAAGGCGTGATTGCGTAACAAACAAACAAACAAGCTCACATTCACATTTATAGTGTTAGTTAAAAAATAGATAGACAATCTCTGAAAATAACCTAGTGGTATCAAATTCATTAGAAGGAAGTAAATGATGTTTTCATGTTTAGAGTCAAAGTGACTAAGTAGTAAGGACCATTGTACATGATTTACGCTTATCAACTTCATTGAATCATCATGAAATTGTTTGAGTCTAAACAATAATGACTATGGCACAACGTTGCACTCATAAAAGGCTTACTTACTCTTTACATAACTTTAAAATCTCGGATTGAATCGCGAAAGCTTTTATTAATCGTTATCACAATACTTATTTCGCTAAATGGTGCCTATAATATGTATGTAGGTATTTAAAATTCAGTTAATCGTATAGACCGAACTTACCATGATGTGAAGATGTTCAGAAACAGTTAAGTGATCGATAAAAAGATCTACTTGGTGCATAAATCCGCTTATATCACGCATATAATCTCCCATTGGTTGACCATTTACTAACACATCACCTTCAACAACTGTATGGTCTAAAACAAATTAGATATTAAAATGAGGTCGGCCAAAAATGAATAATTACCAGCAGTCCTGTATGCCAATGCTGTCATCAATGATGTCTTTCCAGCTCCACTTAAATATTTTAAAATTGTTAAGTTTTTTCAAGTAAACGTATGAATTTGTAAAATGTTTACTGATATGCATGTATTATTTTAATAACAATTTGGGGTTTTAACATTTTGTGCTTTCATTGAAAGACGCATGTATACATTTGATTAACATTATATTTGTTTTGAACAAAAATAGGTTTATTGATACTATTAATATTTTTTGGTAACAAGTATGAATTGTTGCATCAAGTGTTGGAATTCTCAAATGCAATTCTTATTAAAAGGTAATAGATAATAATGATACACCCAAAGCTTCCCGGAACGAGGAGTAGGATCAGTGCAGAACGAAATTTAAAGAGGGGTTATGAATTCAACCAAACCGACGCGGTATCCCGTGCGCCGAAACTCGTGCAGTTTTTTCCCGCATACCACGAGTGCCCCACCTAATTCGTCGGGCAGATTTCTCATCTTTACACGAAGATAGAATAGAAATTGTACAAAAATATCCAACAGATTGTAATTATTCGAAAGAAAAAGAAAAAGTTTGGGAAAAAATATAAATGACACTACAAGAAAATCGGCATCATCGTCTAATCAACTTTCGTACATTTTCAATACAGTCAACGGTCGGCAACTGGTTCAGGCCCGGACCGCCAGAAAGTCATAAACTGGACCGCCAAAGATTTTTTGAAAGTAAATTATTCAAATAAATTAGTGAAAAAATATTATATCTGTAGACAATAAAGTATGCTTGAGCTTTGAGCGTAACCCTTATCATTTTTTTGGAGAAAGGAATATGTTTTTTCTAAACCTCGACAATAATTTTTCTACCTAAAATTACCTGCCGACTTCTGATCTATATATATAATACCCGATTATTAAATGTTTCTAATTTACACTACGTCAGTCTGATTGTAGTGTAATAAAACTACTCATGCTGCACATTCCCGCTCCCGCGTTGCTTTAAGTGTACCAATAATTATTATAGGAGTTGCCTCATTACCCTAACCCATCTTAAATCCTGATGATTCCGCAGAGACGGGAGTTTAACCACAGCGACTACCACTTCCTATTTAAGATTATATTCACATTTAAACACGTTCAAAGCGTCAGAAGATTAATTTTTAATTATAAATTTCGATTAAAAGACTTCATCCAGGATATCGAAAATGAACCATTTAATTAATTGCATTCTTTTTTTAACATTTGTAATCGTTAGCTAGTTGCAGAGTAGCTGATAATGGGACAACTACCTCACCTTAGAACTATAGATACGTAGAGTATTTACTGTACCAATGGTGAAATAATTTTTGGCATTATCACCAATTCTATTTAAGAATTTTTAAATCAAATTTCATCCACCCATTTGACAATTCCGAAAAAAGAGACTGAAGAAATTCTTTCGCCCTGCTCCCCGGCATTGCACTAAAGTGTAAATCGTACAGGCTACCCGCGTATCAGAGTTAGTAGCTGGTGGAAATGAAAGATGAAAAAGCGTTATTGTTTGATAAATTCATCTTTAAAGTACTCACATCAGAGAAAGGTAATACTTGGCGAAACAATTATTAAATGTTTATAATTTACACTTTTGTGAGAATTTTCTAACATTTTCCTTCTGTTCTAAGAAGAGCTTTCGTCAAATAAAGAATAAAAAATTAACAATCAATTATTGATGGATACACATCATCATACAAGTTTTAAGTAAAATTTCATGGGAACAAGGAATTTTCAAGCATGCGGGTACCTAATTATTTCACAGGCCTTGAACTATTTCAAAGCAGTGTAAAACGTATGTAATTAGAAAATGTGTATATAATAAAATAATCAATAGAACTACCTTGAACCCATGAGTGCGACCAAACTTCCAGCCCTAACAGCTCCTGAAACTAATTACAAACAACATACGAAACAAAATCATAAATTGATTACCGGGAAAAGATTGTCTGATAAAATATTACCATTATTGATTATTCTTTTATATGGTTGACCCTTTTGTTTTAATAACACGTAAACGCTCAGATCTCTCCATGATAATGTTACTCCTTCTTCGACAGGTGACCAATAGGTATAACTTCGACCAAAAAGGGGAGAAGATTCCGTAGCAGAGCCCTAAACATTAAAAAATATGTCACTTAGCCAAAGAAAAATTAATTTGATACTCAGTCTAATCTATATTCGAGTTTTTTTTTTTCAGTTAAAAAAATAATTTTTAATATTTACGAGTACATTTTTTTAACTGTATAATTTTCAATATAAAATTAAACTACGTCTGAATGTGAAGAACTCCTTTGGTCTTCCATTACAAATGTATCTTCAATGGAAATTTCTCAAGCAGTTTATAATACCTGCAAATTAAACAATTCAATGCAAAATAAAATCAATTTAAAAAACTATTCTATTTAAACATGCAGAAAGAGCCTATCTCGACGCAAGATCTAATTTTTCAAGGGGTAACCAATCAAACTGAATACACCCCTTATCATCTTTGGAAGCTAGCCCAGCAAATAAATTAATAATTGATATTTACATAAAAATATAGGGCTAAAAGGAAATATGGAAACCCATTTAAATTTCAAAAGACATATCATTTCTTTTGATAAAAATAATAAATAGTAACAGTTGCAGTCAAAATAGCACTAAAAGGGTCAAATTAGTATCACAATAATAACACTTTTAGTAATACTTTAATATCAATTTCAATTCAATTCAATGCAGAAATCAAACTAATTAATTTCTGGTCTTGTATAAACATAATGTGACAAATAATTATTTCTACCGTTTAGAGCACAGATTTGTAATTTTTGTTGCGGTGTGAATTTTTAATATATCTAATTGCGGAAATCGTATAAATTACGCATAGCTTAATGAAATAACTATACCAATATCTGAGCAGGCTGGGGGATTTTTTGTTTTTTTTCCCATACAAAAGAAGGTAATCACTATGTTGTGAGGATGTAGTCAATATAAGGGAGTACTTAACTTGTATTAGGATGAAGTGTTTTTTAGAATCCTTTTGAATTTATGGAAAATTCAACATGCCTCATAAATGCAAGGGAAATTATGCCAAGGGGAAATATATTTCCACCTTTTGTTTCCCTAAAGACTATTTACGATTTGAGTCACTATTGTAGATTTGTGAGTTATACATTTTAACCTTCAAGATATTGATTGATACATTATTGATAGTACAAGAGGAACAACACTAGTATCACTAAACAAGCCTCGGCTAGTTTTAGGTTAGTTCAAAGATAATTCAAAATTATTACTTATATATTTATAATGGACAAAATTGTGGAATATTTTAAAATTTTCATATTTTTTTGTAAAAACATTCTGTTGAAAGAAGTCATTAAACCAAGACGAACAGTTCGGTATTTAACATTTAGATTTTAGAAAATAAACTTTGTTGTCTTTTGGTTTAATGTACTTGATTCATTAGAACTTATTTTTACAAGAAATTATTAACATTTTGAAATACTAGTTAAACCATAAGATAAGGCAGATTCTTTCTTATTAGTTATATCAGGCACATGTGAAAAATCTGATCGGGACATGCCTTTTGTCTGATCGGGCTCGGACTCGTTTGCCTGATCGGGCTGGAACTCGTCTGCCTGATCAGGATCATGGCATACAGAGGCGTTACATTTCTGATCAGGCTACTATCAGGTCCCTAATTGAACTAAGGGTAATCAGATGCGGGCCGAATTCCAGCCCTAACAAATTTCTGCTCGAGCTGTTGTATAGGTATCAGGAGAGTCCTCAAACAAAAAAGAGCTAAAAACGGAGAATGCTTACTTTCAAAAAGTTATTGCTGAGAGTATTAGTAGTGGTACTTATGAAGAATATTTATTATCAACACGATGAGATTTCAACAAAATAATTTGAGAGATTGGCTTTTAATTAAAACAAAGTAATTAAACCATGTTTTATGCATGTAAAAAACGTTAAAAATCAGGCCTTAGTAGAATATGTAATGTCCTCTTATTAGTAGACTTCTTGTTATCAGTTTTTTGTCAGGGCACTACTATTAAGCCAATTGGGAGGTAGACCAAAATTTCTGCCACTATTCTAAATATTCCATTCTGTTAGATCCGGCCAAAACTGAGCGGTTAAGCCAACATTGTTTTCAATTTCCCCGCCCCTTTATCTTGGAAATAGACCAGATTCTGCAGATACATCATCAATAAAAAAATGCTCTAAAATACTTAAAAAGCTGAAGTGCCAGGTGGCAGAAGATCGGGACAACGTGTGTTTTTTTGAGCGTCAGCTCCCTAAGTAAGTGTGAAAAACGTGAACTTGTTGAAAGTTTGGCTTTGTGTTGCAAAAAATCAGTCTAACATTATTTACTAACACAAATATTTTTTTTAAATTTCAAATATCTCACTAAAAAATTACATTAAAAAATAAAATGATCAAATATGGAGAAAATCTGTACTCCCACTAAGTTAAGTACACTTAAAACCTGTTTTTATATTATATGCGTATATTTTTTAACTTTTTCTTATACGTAATAGGTATATGTTTATATCTTTTTAGTTATGTTAAACATTATTGGAGTTATTTAATTCTCGTTTTTTGTAACAGGCAAAAGTCAATCGACTTTTGCCATTTGTTTTGTCACTTAGACGGTACCTAATGCTTATAATATGCCGATCTCATATACGAATATATATTTATACAAGGCGACAATTCGCCAGCACGTTATTTACTAAAATAACGCCTGTGAAATTAATTCCATTTTTTTGGAGATATCTCCATGTACATTAACGTAGAATTTTAATACCTTCTAGAACAGAATGTTTGTTGGTGGTGGTGGAAAGGGAGGAGACGTAGGGAGTGGAGGTAAATGGAGGTTCCAGACCAAAATCACTCCAAATATTTTTTTACTACGTTATATTAGTTCGATTTTAGAGAATTTTTGTTTACTACATACTAAAACGAAACGTTATCCTGTAAGCAGTCTAACGAATATGTTCGGGGTTTTTGACCGTTACGTTGCCTTATTCTTAATAGATTGTTACTGCACGACGTCTCTTCAACGTGCATGCTTCAATAACTTCTTTGTTGAAAGTCACTGGCTAATTCAAACCAAAGATTCTTCAAATTCAAATAAAAGCAATCTACTTCCCAACAATAGCCAGAAAACCCTAACCATTTTTTCAATTCCTAAACACCTTGCATGCTATTCACTTTGTGTTTTTAATCAACAAACAGAATACAAATTTTTCAAAACAAGCCAAACGGTGCTACTATTTTAAATTGTTATTCTTTGTAAATTCGCGTTGATAATATGCCTACATTCAAAATGGGCGAAAATTCTTTGATATTCTTAGTAATTACCTAGTTCAGTAGACACACATACAATCATCTTGAATTTTTAATATACTGTAGAGGTGATTATGCTGATCATTTGGACATATATATGGGCGCGGAAATGATAATGAAACATATAGTTTTCGTACGTTAAAAAGCAGTAAGCAGTATGTGGTGGCCTATGATATATAAAGTAGGTAATAATGCTGCAGGCTGTTTGAAAATGTATATGAATTGGTGACATCATTATTAGGTTAAGTTAGGTTTTTGGAGATATATACGCATTGGTGATGTCACTGTTTGGTTAGATAGATTTAGGACAGACTGGAGTTGTTGAAAAAATTTACGAGGTTAATTTTATTTCAGCAAACATTACAAAATTTTTTGTATGTTATAGAGATGATTATGTTGATCACTTTCATATGTTTATGTTGGGCTCGGAAGTCATAATAAAGCATACTTTTCATAGACATTATTCCAACATATCAGTCCGCCTCCAGCGGGCAGAAGCATTGCAGAAACTCCAGTCTGTCATAAATCTACTTAACCAAACAGTGACATCACCAATGCGTATATATCTCCAAAAACCTAACTTAACCTAATAATGATGTCATCAATGCATCATCATCATCATAAGATCGTCAAACCTGTCAAGACTGGTTGGACACGCCCTACCACTCTTTCCTATCCTGAGCTAATCTTAACATTTCCTTAAAGCTGGAACTAATATGTCTCTGACTAGCCCTTCATGCCTGAACAGGTATCCTACCAACCTATCTCGCCTATCTCTTATTAACTTCCATAGAGTCCTCTGTTCATCTATTCTTTCTAATACCTCTTCATTTCTAACCTCTATCTACGACATCCTCATCATTCGCCAGTAACACCACATTTCGAATGCTTCTTACCTTTTCTTTTCCGGCGCGCCCACCGTCCACGTTTCGCACCCATACAGCGCCACGCTTCAAACATACACCTTTAACAATCTTTTTACTAGGCTAGAAAATTCGTTACATGTATTATTAGGTCAGGTATTAACACCACCAAATAAAATTGCAAATAGTCGTCTGAATGAACAGTAAGAAACTTAGCAAACAATTCTTGAACAATGTACAATCTGGCGTATTATTAGCTAATTTGTATATCGTAGGTCATTACATATTGTTTTTCAACGTTCGAAAACTATGTTTCATTATCATCAAAATGATCAGCATAATCAATTATATAACATACAGTTCACGGTGATCGAAGATGTGGCTACTTAACTAGACAATTACCTAATTCTTTAACGTTTGTATTTACCAGTTTCCTGAGTAATAGTTGTATCGCTTAGCTGCATAGTAGGTACTGTAAGTATTTTGATTTTATGCTATAGGTACTTACCGTACTCAATTATAAAAAAACTTGTTGTGGAAATGCTTCTAATCAGTTTTCACTTGTAGTGTAGCACAGTTATAATTGTTTAACTCTATTAATCAACTTTTTTGAATTGAAATTATCACTCATTTAAAAGTTTATTCACATTTCGATGTTAAACATTAATTGGGTTACATATTTTTTCTAATCTTTGTTTAAATATTTGCGCTGTAGAAAAAATAATCTGAATAAAACAACGTTCTACAGACAATGCTGCACGATTATTCTTGTCTACGTAAAGAAACCCTTCAACAATTATATTTTTTTTATTTACCTGCTTGAGAACCTCTTGCTTGTAATTGAATACCTTTGATCTGCTTACCATAAAGAAGGAGGGAGATACAGAATATTGCAACTTCTCTGTTACAAAACTCGGATAAAATTGCACGACTAAATAATCGAATTCTCTATTACCGCGGTTTCTTATAGGTATTGGTGCACAATAATAAAATTCTCGGGTTACCATTCACATTAGTTAAAAGTAACTTTTACCAATACAGTTTCAATTACAATCGTTAAACTGATAAAAACGTCGACGTTCTTTGCCGAACATTTAATCCTAAAGGCAAAATCAAATTTAAATGAACTTTATTCGTCACTCAACGTATTTAGACATATAGCTATGAACATTTTCCTCAATTCCACTTCAAAAAAAGAAGATTAAAGGTGTATGTTTGAAGAGCGACGCTGTACGGGTGCTAAACGTGAACGGTCGGCGCGGCGGAAAAAAATGTTAGAAGCGTTCGAAATGTGGTATTACAAACGAATGATGAGGATACCGTGGATATAGAAGGTTAGAAAGGAAGAGATGTTAGAAAAAATAAGAGATCAGATGACTGCATGGAAGTCAATAGGAAATAGACGAGGTAGGTTGGTAGGACACCTTCTCATGGATGAAGGTCTAGTCAGAGACATATTAGAAGAAGAAACGGGAGTTAGGAGGGGTAGAGGTAGACCCAGATTAGATTACTGTTCGCAAATAGTTAAGGATATGGGATGTTTTAGTTTTAGGAAAATGCGAAGATTAGCTCAGGATAGGAAAGAGTGGAGGTGTTGGTCCAAACAGTCTTTCGATTGACGACCCTTATGATGATGATCAAAAATGTTTGACTTATTTATTTGAAAAATTCGCAATGTAAGTGCCACTCGCTAAACGAATCATAATTTTGATATTATTATTTATTCATTCTATCAAACTAAAGTCTTCGTTATCATTCTGTATAATTAGATTGCATACAAAATGAAAATAGCTAAATATCCACAGTTGAAAAGAAAAACAATCGTATAGATCATATAAAAGAACTGACACTTAAGTAAACGATAACAAAGTTAAATCGTTTTTTTACTAAAATAAAACTAAATTTACTATGCATGCGTAAACCAATTGTCATTTGTTTTAATGGCTATTTTGATCTACAGAATGCAGAAATGTCTAAGATGTGATGTTATAATAGGAGCTAGGAACTGGGAGGTATTAAAAAAAGTAAAGGAATAGTGAATTTTATGAAAATTAATAAAGAAAAGGAGAGATAGGGTGGTAGGGCACCTACAGAGTCATGATGACTTAGTGTTATGTTAGAAGCAGTTATAGGAGTTAATAGAAATCGAGGAAATTCTAATCTTTCACAAATAGTTAAAGATGTGAGATGTTCTAGTAGCTGAGATGGGATAAGAATAAGAAGGGTTAAAGGTGCGTCTCTAACCAGTCTTCTTATGGTGTAATGATGGTATATGATTATAGTGCAACTTCTGGGTAATGCCTTGCAAGGCAACAGCAATTGTTTTCTTTTACGTACTTAAATTTCAAAAATAATATTAAATACTCCAAGTCCTAGCCTAGCAAGAGACAATATTGTTGAAAATTTGTCATTATACCCTTACCTCTATAGATGGTTCAATACAAACCGCTAGGCTTCGAAATTGCAGAAATCCGTATAACTGACTGATTGTGAGGTACAATTTACGAATTTGCTTTGACACTGTTTAATTGTATTTACCACTTGTTCAATTTCAACTGAGTGATAAATACAACTTACACCGTGGTTTTTACTGATCTTAATTTAAACCTGTTTTATACAAGTGACCTTAAATGGTACCTATTGGATATTGTATGTATATATGTATATAGAAGCTGTATGTTATGTGTGATTCAGATGAGCGTTAAAATTAAGTTAGTACAATACAGAATAAAATATCATTTTTCACCTACTCAAAAAATAATTTAATTATAATGTACTTAATAAATAATTTAATAATATAATAATATCAGCTTACCTTATTATACATCATACATGGAATCATCACAGAGGGTCAGTGAAAACGCAAGCCGTCTCACCACCCTGCATTTGTTGCTTCGTCGTGATGATGAATTCGACTCCCCGATTGTTGATTCCGCTAGGTTGAACTTGCAATTTTAAATAAATAATTTAGATGTACCACCTTTGTGCCAGTGACTTAAATAATAGTTTAAAATAACACACTTTAAAACTTTCACAAACTTTTATTAAACTGCCTATAAACTATTTGAAGTCATTTAAACTTATCTTAGAAGGTAATTGTAAAGCAAATAATATTTTTAATAAGGTTTATTTGTTATACTTTTACAAAAGTCATTATTCCTTTTTCGTTGTATTAGTATATGATATATTAACTAGAACCCTTTAAAAGTATAAGTTAATTGCAATGTAATGTATATCGTATAATCTTGCACATGTATAAGATATATACGGACCTACTTACAGTCTTTGGTTTGTAGTTTATACGTATTCAATTAATAAAAACTATTAAATAGAATTCTAATATGTATAAATCATTATTGCTCATTTTTATATGTTTTAAGTAACAATACAAAAAATGCTAATACACGAAAACCCACCGCTAGTGCCAGAAGTGAATATAAATCAATGGAAAAATCATCCTGAAAATAACAAAATATCATATAGAATTGTTGTTTTTTCTTTTGTACGTAAAGAAGGTATGTATAACTAGATTTAAGACATGTTTTACCTCTGAGAATCCATACATTTCCAATATTATATGACCATTCTTAGGACACGTCGTAGTATTATTTATACAGTTTATCTCAACTCCCTTCCATTGGTTTATAAGAAGTGCTTCGTTACCATAACGAAACCATGAAATATACGAGAACCATTTTATGTATATAGGAACAGATCTATAAAATACAAATAAACCAGATAATAATATCAGTTTATTTTCTTTTTATAGAAAAGCACTAACTACGTGCAAATAAAAATTTGGATGTAATCGATGCGAGGCACTTAGAACAATTAGCTTAACTTCCCGTGCGTCAAAAATCATAACTAGAATTGTCCAAAGAAGGATGGCAAAAAGAGCGGAAGAACTATTAAGGGAAGACCAATTTGGGTTCAGAAGGAATAGAGGAACGCGGGAGACCATTTTAGCTTTACGAGTAGCAATAGATAAACCGATAGAAAAAGGTAAGAGTGATTTTGACAATGTTAAATGGGACAAAATGTTAAATATACTTAAAAATGAAGGGATGAGTTACAGAAATAAAAGAGTGATATTTAGTTTGTATAAAGAGCAACAGGCAGTTATAGAGCTGGAGCTGCAACGTAGAGAAGTAAATATTAGGAAGGAAGTCCGACGGGGATGCACACTGTCACCGCTACTTTTTAATCTTAGGATTAGAGAAGATTAGAAATGAAGAGGCATTAGAATGAATAGGAGAAATAGGCGAGATAGTTTGCTAGGACACCTTCTCAGACATGAAGGTCTAGACAGATACATCGTATTAGAGGCAGAAACATAAGTTAATAGGAGTAGAGGTAGACCTAAATTAGATTACTGTTCGTGAATAGTTAAGGATGTAGGTTGTTCTAGTATTGAGGAAATGTGAAGATTAACTCAGGATAGGAAGGAATGGAGGTGCGTGTCCAAACACTCTTAGGATTGACGACCCTATGATGATGATGCAATCGATTTCGCACAGTAGGATAAAATATTCCTTAGATAGTCATCCGTCTCGCTCTCCCCACCACTTTGCATAAAAGTTGGCGGGAGTAATACCCAATAGTTATTTTTTTAAACAATGCAAGCAAATAGTAAAATATGCAACATGTTTTTGGTATAAATTTTGGGTCAATGGCCGATTTCGGCAACTGCCTACAACATACGAGGGATGTGAGAAAAAAGTTCGGGAAAATGGAATAGCGAGCGTAGACATAGTTTGCTTTTCGATCTCTAGAAGTACATCATGAATGAGTGTGACAACGACCGTGCAATTGAGTGGTTGTACTGTTTTGCTCTGTGTGATTTCATAAAGTTATCTTTCAATAACATGGTAAATTTCAATATGACGACTTAGACTGATGAAGACCCTCATCAAATTTTGTTACAGTTACAAAATAACGGACACAGAATCCCACCGCATATCAGAATCCGAAGCGAATCATGGGTTTACGGTTATGATTCCGAAATTTAACAACCATCGTTGCAGTAGAAATTGGTAGTACTTTTCGACATTTACTGCCTCGTTAAGGACTCGGAATGGTATTCGAATTATTTGAATATGCAAATATTGAAATATCCATATTACAGTTTATTTAAAATTTAATTAGTCAAACATGTATAAATTTAATATTCAAAATTTCAAATATCCAAACATCTGGATACTCAAAATACTTAGTTAGATGTAAGATTGAGATTCTATGGCTCATTTACTTGGGGAACTACCTTATTAAATGTCTAGATGTGGTTCCTAAGTCCCAATCTTTTTGCCAAGTTTTTGTTTTTGAATTAAAATTAATACAGTATTTTAAAGTCCTAATTTTTTTAATTACTGAGTCTTCAAATCATCATATATCAAGACTTCAGATATTCAATTGTTTCAATATCATAATGTGTAATCTACGAGAACGTTTGATAATACAAATAACTGAATATTTATAAGTTGATATCCAAATCGAATTATAAACAAATATTTGCTAAATATAAAAAATTCCAAACCCCAGTCTTATTCACAAACAGTTCTTATCTCCGTTCAAAGCATTAAAGCTCAGTTTTAGTGTTGGGTTTTAAGACGAGTGAGATAGTTTTATCACGCTCGCTCACAATTTCTGACTTCAAGAAGCATTACCATTACACCTTATCTTCCCTATTTGTCTGACCTTGCCAAAATTTCCAAAAAAGAAATTAATACTCCAAGAGCGCCAGTTTAATATGAACGAGTAGATGCAGTCAAAACTGTTTGGAGGTCCTCAACGCATTCTTTCAGGATTACTTTCAAAGATATATGGACTCATGGATAGAACGCTGAAATCGTTTGGCTCAATCTGTCGAAGATTACGTCTAACAAATAAATTCTTTTACAGTTGAATTCCGCCAAATTTAGGTAGCATCTCATAAACACATACAATTTTAAAGTACTGGGATGAAAATATAAATTAAAATAAAACAAAAAATGTTTGTATGTAAGGGAGATGAAGGTAGGGTTAGAGCTACTATAGCAATTAGAGACGAAACACTAGAAGACGAATTTTCGATATCTATGTGCTTTGGTACAGAAGAAATTTGTTTTGTGTAGAAAATCAAAAATAATTGTTAAAAATGTTTGTTTGGAGCCCAGGAGCCCAGAAGCTCTGTTTGGTGCGTTTGAAATATATGGTATTGAAGGTTAGAAATGATAAAGTGTTAAAAGGGGTAAAAGAACAGAGAACGCTGTGGGAGTCAATAAGAAAAAAGGGAGACAGGGAAACTCGGACAAGACATTAAGGATTTGTCAGAAGCATATTAGAAGTAGCAAAAAGAAGTGAATAAGGACTATGGGATGAGAAAATTCTTGATTATGTTACTGTTTGCATCTAGATAGGGATGTGGAAGATTGGCGCAGGAGTTGAAAGTATGGAATTGGATATTGAACCAGTCTATCACTGGCAACTCTATGATACTAATCGTATCATTAAAATTTATCTTTCTTTGGACATATGAAACATATATATCAAGGTATTTGAGTTAAGTTAAATGAGGCCTCTAGTCTAAAAGTTGAAGAGTTACCATATAAAAAGGTCTCAACTAGTTTTATTGAAAATATAAGAACTAACAGGAATACCGTATCTGCCCCAAAATTAAAGTACCCACTGCATATTAACATGTACATTTAGAGGCCTCAAGGTAAAAAGAATTCTAGAACTAAAAATCCACCCTTCTCCCCTTGCCAAATACAAGATACTGACAATTTGTAATATATATGTTAGGCCCGAAGACCGAAAACGCTCAGTGGCCACAACGCGTTCTGGCTGCCTTCAAACGCACAGAACGCGTTCTGGCTGTTTTTAAACGCTCGCAACGCGTTCTGGTAACTGTTTAACAGCCGGAACGCGTTTTGTCAATTGTTGTCGGGTATACAGTTAAAATTTGAGTGTGTGAATATGAAAGTGAGGTACCAGCGGACAAAATCTCCTTACGATCAGCATCAACTCAATCATCAGGAAGCAAACAAGGTTTTGTTTTTTGTCAGTGCAAACGAATGTGCATTGATAAAAAATGCAAGTGTCGCAATTTAAATGTACTATGTAATTCGAAATGTCATTCAAACAGTTCTTGTAAAAATAAGTAATATACCTATGTAAAGTACTTGAAAGTTCGAAAAAACCCCTCGTTTGTATTTAATTGTGGTTGTCAAAAATTAAATCGTTTCTAATAAAGTAAAAAAGGCATGAATTTAAGTTTGCGTTGTACTCCACACTAAGTTAAATGTGTC